GAGGCGCCAAGGTACTTTCAAAGGATTATTCAAAATTGAACCTTGCAACCTAGACTGGTTGTGTTTGACCAGTGAACCGATGCATCGAAAATGGTGAATATGATTTTTGATGTAACCAAGCCTTCAATAAACGAGATCGATCGAGTAACCGCGCCTTTAGTGAATGACAATAGTAGTCTACTCATTGCATTTATGTATGAGTATGAGAGCACGCCTGGCTCTACAAAGAACCAAGATGTGCTGATGATCGTATACGAGGAGGATCTTTCAAGACACCCCAACTCAAAATATATCAGTAATCTAACTAGGGAATGGAATACTTCGACGATACGTCGGTCATCTTGGATCGCAAGGCATTTACAAAAGATGAATTAGAACAGCACATCTATCAGCTTTATCCATAAAGAAAGACAAACTAACGAAACTCTATATATTTTCCGTCATCTTAGTTTTGTTTTACCCCCTGGCCGCAGTATCGTCGAAGTAGTCCATTAGACTCCCTTTCAAGACCGACTGTCATCCTTGAGCGGGAGATAAAACCAAGTCTTTTATAGAAATCACATGGCAAAATAAACCAAAAATTTCATAGGCAGACGCGGTATAGCAGTAAGGAAAACAATCACCGAGAATTAAAACTAAAACAAAATTACAGTGCACGAGTAACAAATATGCATTACGAGTTACACTCGTTAGACCGCGTCACGTTTGGAAATACGTACGCGGTTGGCAAAAACATTCAATCACTGAGCAGGACCAAACTGATTTAACAGGTTAAAACCTGCATGTCAGGTTGCACTGCTTGTATGGGTAAGGCATACAAAGCAAACGTCTCAGGTTGAACAAATATATTCCAACGATACAAAAATTGCAATAACATTAAAGTTAAATTTAAGTGGCTCGATGGGGTTTTCTGGGCGCGATAACTTTTGAACTCGGAATCGCAAAATCCGCGGACGTTGGCCTGGGAAACTAAGCAATCACTCCCTGCAAGTGCTGTAAAATAAATAAATAACTACAATATTGAATTAAGGGATTCATGCAATTCTTTATTAACTTTACGTAGAATGCTAACTAAGCAGGTATAAAGTTATGCGGCCAAATGAAGATACTACTTTACCCATGAAGTGATATAATACTCTTTATAGTTTTTATGGATATATTGCCTCCACATGATACGATAGCCACCGTCTTACCCTCATATTGGTCTTTTGTCTTGAGATAAGCTGCTATGGTAACGCCTGTTGCACCCTCGACGATCTGTTAAAATGTATTCAGATGAGTAATGTGCAAGCTACAATGTGGCATTCTGTACCTAAACTAAATGTCTGTCTATTCTTTAAAGAGATTTATTTGTCCGCGGGACACGAGTTAGCGTGGGTGTCAGAGGTCCTCTTGCTCACAGAGGAAGGCCCAGGGTTATCCCTTAATGCATCGGATGCCGTAATGGTAATAATATTAATTCAATGACGATGATCGAACAAAATATTGCATGCAGGGGTCGTTACAAAAAAAAAAAATCGTACAACACAAAACCCTGCAAACCCTTAATTATATAATGGTCCATTCCTGATGACGATGATGACGATGATAAAATTCGGAGCAAAGAATTCAAAAACAGAGAAACGAATCAGGACTCGTAACTAGAGGAGGGATGAAGTGGTACAAATAATGAAATGCTATCAACCTAAAGAAAGCGGGAGATAACAGCACCAAGTACCTTGTGGTGTTTATCCAAGACGTCATAAACGGCCTTCCCTATGTTTTGTTCTGTTACCAATACCCAGTCATCGACTAACGACTTACACAAATCAAGTGTTACCTGGTAAATAAGAATAATTGAATGAATGTTAAAAATGCATGTGCCTAACTTTTGCCCAGACATAGTTGAAAAGGCTTAAGAGGGCGTCTCTGTAACAGCGTGCCACTCGATCTGGGCTCGAAAAATAGATTTCTTTTA